TGCAAACAATGCAAGCCACTTTGACATTGATCCAGGAAACAATGGTAAAAATGCAAAACACAATGTCTATCAACCATGGAGAAATGAAATTTGACATTCAGAAATTGGATAATAAAATGAATTCTATTCAGGAAGCAATTCAGAAGAATGAACAAAGAATAAAAATAATAGAAGACAAAACAGAACAAACTGGGGAAAACTTAGATCTGGTAGATCAGAAAATGATGGCAATAAATAAGGACCTCGAAGACTCATTAATCCAATTAGAGATGGACCGGGCATCTTTTTTCTTAAGATTCCAAAATGTGACAGAGGCGAAGGATGAAGATTTAGGACAGATAATGGCAGATATTATAGCAGAATCTCTCAAAAGAGAGAAACAAGAAATTATGAATAAATTCGAAGAAGTATATCGAATTCAAACGAACTATGCAAGACACCATAAACTGCCTAGAGAGGTTCACTTTAGATTTGCCCGAAAGAAAATCCGGGACATAGTGTACAACATTACCCGAGAAGAACCAATGATTTACAAGGGGAAGGAAATTATTACATTGAAACAAATTCCTAGAAGGGTTCGAGAACAACGTAAGGACTATCGCTTCCTTGCCGCACAATTGAACAAGCGAAATATTTTGTTTAGGTGGATAGTCCCAGAGGGAATGCTTATTTCATGGCAAGGCAAGAAGGTTAAAATTGATAGTTTAGCGATGGCACAGGACTTCTTTGACCAGTTGATGGGAAATGAAGAGGATCAGAGTAGTAGGGAGGAGATGGAGACCGTAAGCCAAGAAGAAGACCAAGTTAAAGAAGAAACCCGGGAAGAGAGAAGCAAAAAAGAAAAAGGAACTCAAGAATTAAGAGGTATTAAAACAAGATCCCAAGTAGTTACAAGGGCAAACAGAGATTAATATCTGGTAGACAGATAACAGAATGGAAGATTGGAAATTAATATCAATAAACGTTAACGGATTAAATGCAGTGATAAAAAGGAGACAAATATTAACAAAGCT